ATGGCATGCTGCATTTACCCCTGAAGGTTATCTTGATATAGGCAAAATACTTAGTCGAGTTTGTCGTGGGGTAAGGTTAGCTTCATGATTCGTAAGTTACTTTCGGTTTATGTGCCAAATGATTCAGGAATATTGCAATTCTGTATTTTAATCATCTTTACTGTTTGTTTGATGCTTTTTTTTGTGTGGGACTTAATTAAAAGAACTTGTGACATAATCCTAGTCTTTTATACCTATTTCTGGTAAGTTCATTCATCAGCGTAACAGAATGTTTAGTATTGAGTATTTGTGGTTTTTAGGGAATCCATCCATCAATTAGAGGTGAAGTTTGGGAGTTCTTACTGGGCTGTTATGATTCAAAGAGCACATTTGAGGAACGAGAGCAATTACGACAACGTCGGAGGTATTTTACTTTCCTTACTAAGCAAGTATAAATATATCCAGGCAACAATTAATTTTTTCCAAACTATGTGCTTCATCATCCTAATTTAGTAACTCGAGTTGAATTACAATAAAAGCTATTGTTGGAGGTGACTCAAACATGTTTGTTTTCAGCTGCTTGCATGAAATTTTTAAGCTCAGTGGTTTCCAAAGCTTCATATCTGAAGATTTACTTTTGCGAATTCTGTATCCGTGATTCGGCAATAGACAAACTATCATCTCATGTGAATTTCATCATACTTTGCCATTCAACAGTGTATATTAATACCTAATCCATGTCAAAATCACATTCTCAGCACACATTTCTTGTACGCATTCAGGGTACAGTATGCTGCACTGAAAGAAGAATGTCGTGGGATGTTTCCCTTGATTGGAAGTGGTCGGTTTATTTCTGCACCTGTAATCACTGAAGATGGTGACCCTATTCTAGATCCTATAGTTCTTCAAGAGTTGAATGCGGCAAAAGAACCAACTTCAGTTGGTCAAGTTGGTAATAGTTACTATGTTCAGTCCCCAAGTAGTGTGATTTATCTTTCTCTTCCTTTCTGATGGAAGGGCTCTTGGATGCTGTATACAGTGACGATTGTTTTTTGGACATGGTGCAATTACAGGTCCGTCTAATGGTTTTGAATTGGTGAAGGAGCATGACAAAAAAGTAATCCAGTGGAAACTCTCATTACACCAGATAGGTTGGTTATGTATACAGATTGCATGCACTTGTTTCTTATCATGCCAATCTATGTAATTAATTCATCTGTTTTCCGGTTTTGGCAAGTCGAGTATTGGCTTGGGATGTGCAATGGATTTTTCTTATTAATTTGGCAATCACTTCCTTCTTCTTTATTAATTTCTCTATCTGTATGTTACATCTTTCCATCCTTGTTCGTATTTATGCTAGGATTGGATGTGATTCGTACTGACCGGACACTTGTCTTTTATGAGAAACAAGAGAATCTATCAAAGCTTTGGGATATTTTGGCTGTTTATGCTTGGTTTGACAAAGAAGTTAGTTATTGTCAAGGTGAGTTATTATGGTATCTTCTTAATATAATTCTTCCAGTATTTTGGCTTCTTTGTGATCCCGTGATTGCTTTACCACAGTGATTTATGGTCTGAAGTAGACTAAGAACTCGTGTTTGTGATACTAGTTTGAATGTTGTAGTTTCTACTTATATCTCGTCTTTGACTTACTACCATGCACTATGCTAAAGTTGATGATCAGTTCTAATTGCTCAAATCTGTGTACACTCTCAAAATTTCTATAAAGCTAAATGTTCCATTCATAAATTATTCTTGTAAGGGAAGATGTCCATATATTACAAATGGTCCTTTTGTGTCTTTTCTCACCGACGTTAATATTTTTGTCATTGTTAGCATTAACTTTATTTCCAGGGGGGGAATAATCCTTTTTGTTTCCCTTCCAGTCCAAGTAGCTTGTGCTGAAACTATTTTAACATTTGACAATGCGAACAGGAATGAGTGATCTTTGTTCTCCCATGATTATTCTACTTGATGATGAAGCAGATGCATTTTGGTGCTTCGAACGTATGATGAAGAGACTGGTACATAACTTTACTCGGACTGCCTGTGTATAGTTGTGTAAATTGTAATTTTCTGAATTTTCATGAATACCCGCATCATTTCATAACAGAACTTGTTTGGTTACCTCAAGTTGAATTCCAGTAACACTAATTTGTGTTCATCGATCCTTTTGATATCTAGCCTTGCAATTCCTTAGATTTTTGTAACTACTGTGGCTAATACCAAGTGTTCTGTGCATTTTTAAAGAGAAAAAATTTCAGAGCTACTGGGAATTCTGTTGGAGTGGAGGCGCAGCTAAGTAATCTAGCATCAATAACTCAAGTTATCGATCCCAAACTTCACCAGCATTTAGGTACCACCTCTCTACTTTATCCTCTTAAGACGGAGTCCACTTTTCAATTTTACTTCTTTTCTCATCTACAACTCTTCATATTGATGCAAACTTTTTGTCATACTGATGGAGTTACAAATAAGGCAAGGTAGTTAATGATGCACCATACCATATATTCTAGTAATTCTTTCACAACCAATACATAACACATTTTCTTGTTTTTGTGAAGTTGAACTGTCGAAAGTCTCAAACGAGAAGAACATTGCAAGTTAAAAGAGTCCTTAACTTATGTTGTTAACCTATTATGTTAGGATGTTCTGGTTTATATACAACTCTGTAACTTTTGCATTGCTTCAGTCACCGAGACAAAATCAGGACCAGCAACTATGAATGTTTCTTTAAATTTTTTATGCCATGCCTAAAGTAACTCAATTCATCACTGTGCAATTTATCTTCACAATGCTTTACAGTAAACCCCATTTCAGTAATTGTGTCATATCTGCATTCAGTCTTTGATAAAGGAACAAGCTTTGCAGCCACTTTGAGGTCCTTTTGTGAACTGAGTCTCTCAGTGATATTCTTTTATATATTAATTGCTTGAGAATTAATCTTCTGGTGCAAATTTTTAACCATCAAAAGTAGTCAGTGATTCTCTCTTTTTATGCTTCATCTTGTGAAAAATATCATTGAATTTCCTTATGATCTTGGCACACAGAGACATTAGGTGGAGGAAATTACGTGTTTGCTTTTCGGATGCTCATGGTTATGTTCCGTCGAGAATTTTCTTTCGCTGATTCGTTATATCTTTGGGAGGTAAGATTTGCCTCCTAATAATGTTTTCCTGATCTGAAGTTGCAAAGCCACTAGCAAATTTCCCTTCTCCCAAAGTTTATGATTGCACCATGATGTTCGTATTCTCTAAATCTTCTCTTTGCCTGGTTTATCCCCATTTCCCAACAGATGATGTGGTCTCTGGAATATGATCCAGAGTTGTTTTTTCTGTATGAAGAAGACCCTGACTTGACTGCTGAAAAATCTGGACGAGCAAAAGTTAAGTCGATACGCCAGTATGGGAAATATGAGAGAGAGAACATGAGAAGTGGAGGTAAGGATGCAGAAGCTCCCCTCCCAATTTCTGTTTTCCTAGTTGCCAGCGTCCTGAAGGACAAGAGTGCGAAGCTAACAGAAGCTAGAGGACTGGACGAGGTTGTTAAGGTTGGTTTGACAAATACATAATTAGGTGCTGTGTCTTCATTACCTGTTTTCTCCTTTTAAATCTGCTTTGATATGTTTTACTTGAGTTGAGGGTCTTTTGGAAACAACCTCTCTACCTCCACAAGGCAGGGGTTACGTCTGCATACACTCTTACCTTCTCCATACTTCACATATAGAGTATGTATTCATACTCTAATCATTTGCTTATTATTTTCAGATCCTGAATAATATTACTGGAAACTTGGATGCCAGAAAAGCTTGCAGTAGCGCTATGAAACTTCATAAGAAGTATCTTAAGAAGGTAACCTTTCCTATTGACGGATAAATGAAAACATGTGTCCAACTTTATCGTAATATTACAAGTAGTTGTACATGAAAAACAGTCATTCTTGAAGTACTTGTATCTAGGTAGCAATATTTGCAAGATTATTTTTCGAAAAACGGATTTCATTTATAAATACATCTACTGGTTAAAACAGGCAGCCAACACTAATAGGTAGTCGAGCAGAGGCGAGTACTATGGAGCTCATGTAATATTCTCTCTGAACATAATGACAACAACATCTCATTGCTGGCCAAGAAGGTATGACAAGAATCTATATTCATATATTTTGGGCTTGTCGATGAACATTAGATGTTTTTTCTACTGTAGTTATGATGTGCTAAGACGTAATATCTTAGGATTGTCGTATTCTGTACGTGTGTATTCAATCCAAATGTAATGTACTATGTATACAAGGACACTCTTCCAAAGGTTGTACTATAATCTCATTCATGTTTCAGTAACAAAACAATGCTTCATCTTTGTTGTGACTTTTGATGTTCTTTGATATTGGCTACTAAGATATATAGACAGAATGGTCAAGACAAAAATCAACAGAGGCAGATAAACAGAAATGATGTTCCATAGAAAATATTTTTCTAAGTAACTGAGTATGAGTTGGTTACTTACTTATTTTCTTGTGTTCGGTAAGCAAACAAAAACTATCATCCTAAAAATACTTGTATATAATCTAGGCAAATGCCATGGGAGGTGAAAGTGGGGGGTAGGGGGTGTGGGGTGAAGATGAGGTGTGTTGACTATCGTAGTTCCTTTGTTTCAATTGGTTTGTCTCGTTTTAATTTGGCACATAGTTTAAGAAAGTAAAATAAAAAAATAAAAAAATTGTAGTCTTAAATGAAAAATATGTAGAATTTATCAAACTGTATGGGCAGAGTCATTGTGGTAAAGATTAAGGTTTGTAATTGCAAGGGATAGAGGAGAAGATCACATGCATCTATATCATCAAATCAATTTTCGACTGAATGAGAAAGACATGATAACATTTGTCTCATAACACTGTTATAGGAATGATGAGAAGAGATATATTTTACGTCCTAAAGGGCTATAATTGAGATACCATTGTATAAACAAGCCAGAACCATTTCGCAAGAACAAATAGATTACTTATATCAAACAGGCAAAGAACAATTACGCGGAAAAACAAGAACAAATGCATTACTTATATCAAACAAGCAGAAGAACAACATTAACAAGTTTATAGTTTACAACAACTCTCAAAGTTCATAGCAGAGCATTATTTGGAACAGAAACAAATAGTGTAACTGCACAATGATTGATGATTGATGGCAATCAGAAACCATGAATTTTGATGTGTTCTTTCTTCACAACCCCAGCCTGTTTCAAAGAAATCAATGATTCAGACATCAGCTTAAATATAAAATACATTCAAACACTACCAACAAACTGTAAATTCGATCAAGCTAGAGAATATCCCAGTGACCCTCGTATCAGGAGATCAAGAAGAGGGGATCAGTGCTTATTATATAGGAATATATATATTTTGATAACCGAAAAATTCCCTAGGGCCAGCTGGTGCAATATTCTAAATTGGTGGACAATGAGCCCACTCTTGACTTCCCCACTTAAATACCAAGCTTTTGTCTGTGGCAAGGATCAAACTCGTGATGTACTAACCGAGGCACAAGCATGACATGCTTTCTTCTATGTTACCCTCTCATCGCAACAACAACAACATTATACAAGGTGCTGCAGATTGATGTGAAGAACAATTACCTGGACAAGAAATGTTGAAACATTCTTCCGTTGATCACCCTGAAGTTGAATAACCTTCGAAGAGAAAAATCACCCTAACATTAGTCATATTGCTCACAACATTTCTCTTTGAGACAATATAGAGATCGATATTTCAAGGCAAACCTGTCCCAATTCTGAATCCTGAACAACAGTACCGTTGCAGCAAAACTCTTTTTTGAGATCCTTAAGAATTTTATTATAGCTGAATTCTTTCTTCAAACCTTGCACGGTTGTCAAGCTTTTCCTACCATTCCTTTGCTGTATACGGATGTGTACATAATCTTTTGTCCCCGCACCAGAGTTCTCAGCATTTGCCTCAGCAAAGGGATCTGAGGACACCAAAGCACCACAATAGTTACACCTTGTCTAATTCTACGGGATATATGTCACCTCCCACCAGCAACAGGTACCAGACAGGTAACTCTGTCCAGCAACGCTAACAAATAGGAAAACAATCACCTAGTGTTTTGTCTCAGCTAGGATTTGAATCTGAGACCTCGACCTAATGGTTCTCAATCTATATCATTGACCACTATTTACAATAAAGCATAACTCGAACAATACAACTCCTCTTAACTAGAAAGCTCATCATTTTCATCCTTTTCGTTTTCATTTGCACATAACACAATAAAGATATAACCTCTTATGACGAGAAGGAGTTGCTAGGATGGTAAGCACCCCTCACTTCCAACCCGAAAGTTGCGAGTTCGAGTCACAAAGGGAGCAAAAAAAGGGGCGGGAGCGCAAAAAAAAAAACAAAAGATATAACCTCTTATGTGCAAGTGCTTACTTCAAGATTAAAATTTTCAAGAGATCGAATTAAAAAGATGACAAGACATAGTGAAATAAACCAAATTCAACCAACAAGGAATGTAAATTGATGGAGCTGCATACCAAAAGCATTAGGAACTTGGAGATCAAGATCAGACATGAAACTTGGCTGAAACGAAAGGGTAATACGAGCACACACAATTCTTCAAACTTGAATGCTCAGACCTAGAAAAAAAAGAACCCTTCAGCAGTTAGTACTTGTGCAGGACATCCCATCCCACCTTAAACAGGGGGGAGAAGGGGCTAAAGTAACAAAAACTAAAACAAAGAGTGTGTTTGATACGGAGGAGAAACTTTCCAATTTTCACGTTTGATTCGTCAAATATCTTTGAATAACTTCCCCAATAGAAGTAGAGAAAACACATTCCACAAATGACATCCTCATTAATTGTCTCCTCTCCGCCCTTCAACAAACTCCACCTCATCTCACCACCCAACTCCCAAGTCCATAATGTTTGCCTAAATTATACGCAATTACTTCTGAAATAATATTTCCTTCTTATGCATCAAACACAAGAAAATAGGATTCGAATTCGGAAAACCCAATACTTCATCACAAATACAACAATCAAAGGCATGAAAGCAAATCAAAACAGCACATCATAAATTAAAGAAATGTAAACTAAACTTCCCATTTTCCATCAAAGAAATAACTAAATACAAAAATTCCAAACATCATCCCAAAAGTTTCAGATCACTACAATCATAATGGAGAATTACCCGCCCATAATTAAAACAGTTACACACAAATTGACTCGAATATTAATCATCATCAAATAAAGTTATTAAGGTGTATAGAAATTACCTGATTTGAAGGTTAAGGTATGGAGATGATGATTAGAGAAGACCCAAAAAAAATTAAGAGTAAAAAGATTTCAATTCAATGTGAAATGATCGATAGAATATATGTTAGGGGGTCGCAAATTATGAAACGCAAGTGGAGCTGCTATATACTGTCTGATGGAGCAGTATAAACTCCAGTGCGCCCTTTATGTTCACTTCCCACTATAATTGGAATGATTTATTTTTGGTTAATCCAAAGTTTTTGACTCCGGAAAAAGGTGAAATAAATTTCATGGCCAAATATTTAATTCCTCGTCTAAATTTACGTGATATAATTTAATTTGGCACAAAATTTATATTTTAGACTTTTCATTTTTTTATTTCAAAATAAGTGATTTGTTAGGATTTCACTGTTTTAAGAAGGAATTGATCTTATTCTTTCAGATTAATCCATAAAGTTTTACATCAATCACTTTTTTGAGGCATTTAATTTGGGGTAGGGACGACAATTGAGTGGGTTGAATCAAATTTGAGCAGATTATAATGTGTCAAAGATTCAACACAATTCAAATTTGTTTGATTCAAAATGAATTAGGTAATGAGTTATAGAACGGGTCAAGACCTAATTCAATTCAATTTTTACTAAGTTTTAATTATTTTATTTATTGTTTTACGATTTTTAGTGTCTAATAAAATCATTGTTTTTTCTTTATTATAGCAATATATGACATATTAAATTTAAAATATTTTTGAAAGATTTCTCTGAGTCAATTTGGGTTACATACAAACCTAATTTTTAATAGATTGATTTAAAATATGTTAAGCTAATAAATATGTGGGTTAATAATCCGCCCAAATTTGAACCAATTGAGTTTGATTTTGTCCTTCTTAATTAGGGGTAGAACACTCCTTATTTTTAAAGAAGGAGTAATTTCTTAAATGGTGTGCTTAAGTTAACAGTATCACTTATTTGGAAACAAATAAGTAATTTAAAACAAACCTTAATATTTTCCATATATTTGTTGACTCCAATTATTTCATTAAAAATAAAAATAAAATTTTAAAATCAAATTATTTCTATTTATTGAAAAAGTGATATTCTTTTTTTTAAATAGACTTAAAAAAAAGACATTCCATAAATTAAGACAGATAAAATGTCAAACTAGTGGCCATGCTCTTTAGTTTACCAAAGTTACTCAGTTCCTTATTTCTAACCAATTTTGGCCCAATTTATTTATCCTTTGAAATATGATTTCAGCACTAACTAAAATCCCATCTTTTCTACTTTTCATCTCTCTCCTCTCTCACACACTTTCACTTCTAATTTAGAATTATATTATTTTAGATCGGTATTTTTCAAGTTTGATAGTTATATAAATTGAATGTTGTTAAGTCGTTTTTAAATATTTAGAGGATTCAAAAATTAAATTTGAAGTGATACAAAATAAATTTGAGTTAGATTTAAGTTAAATTTCAGATAAAACATAACGAAAAAGATAATTTTTTGTATAATTATGTATAATATTGTAAAATCGTATACAAGAATATATAAATACCTCTTATAATTTTATATAATATTATATAATGAGTATATAATATTGTATATTGATGTAATAAGTTGTCTTGTATTCCATGTTGAGGGCTTATGAGCCTAATTTGTAAATCTTTGGACTGTTTGGGAGGGTTCGTTAAGGGTTGGAAATAGGTTGTGCACTAGAGCCTAGCTCTATGAGGTAGCCACCTCGCATTGAGCTTGGCTCCATGAGGTTGCCTAAGGCGGTGGTGTATATGTTGAGGCTTTGAATGAAGGACATATTAAGATTTAATTTTAAACCACTAGTTTTATCTTTGAGAAGTGAAGATCGTCGAGATTTAGAAATTCTTTTAATAAGAAAATACAAATATTAGTATTATCATAGTTTAGTTCAAACAGAACTCTTCCTAGAAGATGGTTTGGCTACATAGATTAAGTGCTCTTCTAATATTTGGAAGGGATGGTTTCAAATTTATACAATAAAGTGATTAATTTACAAAAAATATAATCATGTTTTTATTTACATAAAAAATAGTCAAAAGATATAGAAAGTATTACATTGACTATACATTATGATACACTAAAAAAAGCTAAATATGATTACCTATATAATAGTTATACATAAAATATATAATATGATACACTCAAAAAGTTGAATATAGCTTAACTATTATACTGAATAGACATGAATCGTACACCGACTATTTAGTCCAACACACTTAATCCAAAGCATATATCACTTATGGTAAAAAAAAAAAAAATTAAAAAAATTAAACCCCTCTAATATAATGTCAGTACGTCACAATGAGACAGTATAATAATATAAAAAGAAACCCCACCCCTTTTTTGGCTGACCCACCCTTGCCATTGACCTCAAAGACTTGAAGGTTTCCAATTGGGTGCTCGCTCACTTACAAGAAACTACAGAGGTGATCACATACTCATTTACAAGCACTTGCCTAAAAGCAAAAAAGTGTAATTTTCCCAGATCTTTCTTTGAAGTCCCAAAATCTTGCTCTTCTCAGCAATAAAATTAGTGGTCTAAAATGAAATATTAATATACTCCCGTCTCATCTGTTCTTCCCCATTTCTCTGATTGTTGAAAACAAATTTTTAACCCTAAACATGTCTGACCATGGATCCTCACATACATGCTGTTTTCGTTGCACCAAATTCATATTAACTGCAGGCTTAACAGCTCTCTTTGTCTGGCTAAGTCTAAGAACCACAAAACCATCCTGCTCCTTACATAATTTTTATTTACCTGCCCTTAACCTATCTGATAATTCCAACACCACAAGATCCAATCATACTCTGTATTTTCAGCTCAATTTGAACAACAAGATGAAGGACAAAGGTGTTCGTTACGACGAAATTATGTTACGCTTCTATTATGGTACAAATACCAGTATCCCTTTAGGTAATAGCACAATAAATGGATTTTACCAAGGGCATGATAAAAAAGCAAAGAAAAAAGGGAAACTGGAAATTCAGAAAATGGCTTGGGATGCTGCTTTAAAGAATGTTACAAATACATCAAAAGTGGTTTTTAGGGTGGATGTGGCTACAAGAGTAAGTTACAAGATTATTTTTTGGTTTGGCAAGAAACATAATTTTACTGTGGAAAATAGAACATTGGAAGTGGATAGTACAGGTAAATCAAGTGCACAACAGCTTCATTGCTATCTTATGGGTTTAGGTTTTCCCCTAATTGTTTTGGTTAGCTTGATTCTTTTGTTGTAAATGACTAGTACGATTCAATTCAATATTTTGTTCGTTTTGGTTTGATTGTATCCTAGTTCTATAGTTTGGATCAAAAAACTATTGATCCCAAAAAAACTTATGCTCAGCTCATTTATGTCATTTTCTTTTGAAAAAAAGTGAATTCATTTTATTATTTGTTAATTGAAAATAGTTTCAACGTGTTTTTGCTTGTCGGTACAAATTGACAGTAGTTTTAGTGTTATCTTTCCTTTTGTATTTATTCTTTATTAAATTTTGCCGACTTGTTTTATAGTTATGTTACTTTGACTTTTCAAACATATTATCATATTTGTGTCAAATTCTTACCCTTGTTTATCGTTGTATTACTTTGATTTTTCAAACATATTACCATGTTTGTATCAAATTCTTTGTTAGAATCAAACGCTTACTATCATGCTTAAAGTTAGTAAAAACGTAATTTTATTTCTTAATAAGTCTACTAAGAAAGCTCTATGTTAGATCATGATTTTGACTTGGACCACCCAGCCCTTCGTGGGCCTTGCCATAAGCAGGATGTTGACATTACTCAACAACTCTCTCCCAACACCTGTCTTATGCAGAATGTTGCTCTTGGGATCAAACCCACGACCTTAGCTCTGATATCATATGTTAGGATCAAGCGTTTACCATCATGCAAAAAGCTATAGGTCATAGCAAATGCGCAACTTTATTTCTTAACTAAATCCACGTCCAAACAAGCGTCGTGTTCGATCATGACTCTAATCAGGGCCCCCTAGCCCCTCGTGAGCCTTAATATAGATAGGATGTTGACATTACCTAATATTCTTTAAAGATACATTTCTTTTGAAGAATTCAGCATGCATCTGTCGATAATTTTAAAGAGACCTAAGAATACAATAGTTATATGATTATTTTTTTCTTGGACACCATTGTTTTACTCATTCTCTTTAGGTAAATATTATGATTCATGTTCATTGTTTCATCATTAATAAGTGGCTATAAAAGAACCATGTAGAATTATATGTTTTGATATCATAAGCCTCATCCTTTTTTTTTAATAATTATTCAATCCTTTCTCTTTTTTGTGAGCCATGTTGGCTTTGGGCCACATTAAATAAAGGAAATTGGAAAGTTAATAATTCGATGCTTTCTGTCCAGAAATATCATATCCCACTAGGCTTCTCCCTAATTATTTACCTTAAGAAAGTGAAAACACATGGATGAGTATTTTATGGACAATGGATACCTTTTTGATTGTATTTTGAGTAGCAACTTCTAACAACTTCTTAATTGAATAATATTATATTTTCTTCGTCTCAGTTTATATGACATTATTTGACTTGGCACATTATTTTAAAAAAAAATGATTTATCATTGATAACATCTTTTCCATTTCCCCACCTCATCCATATAGATTTGAATCTTTAGCATACTACATTTAGGGTGTGCTTAAATGTATTCTTGATTTTTTATTATTTTAAGAGAAGTAAGTGGATTTTTTTTATTCTTTGGTGTTCAACATGTAAGAAAAGGAATATAACACTTAAAAGCAATGTGTATAATCTATACAAAATATTATGGGAGGTGAGGGTAGGGGATCGAAGCATGGTGGGTGCCAGATACTTCACGACCTAAATTAACGATTACTCAAAAATAGTAAAGGTGAATTTTTGAAAAATAAAAGCTTAAGCATTCTTCATCTTCACAAGACAGGGATAAGGTTTGCGTGGAAAGAAATACTCAACTTTTTCAAGTTATAGTGGTCACAATTAATAGTTTGAGTTGCAATAAGATTAGAAACACAATAATAATCACATTTATAGCTCTTTGGATTAAAATACTACCAAGTTTGGTTACAAACTCTTGTGACATTAGGATTAAAAATATACTAAAACTTTATAGGAAGATCAACAACTCAATTGGAGAATTTAAGAAAAACTTATTTAGATAATTGGAATTAGATAACCGATTCTTCTTCAAGATTGATATGTACGTCCAATCGAAAACATGCTAATTAAGTTGATTAATTTTAACAAGAAATTTTTTTAATGCTTGTATCAGGATAAAAAAGTACTTAAATCTTTTGATAATGTCAAATGAAGGATCTAGTGGATTCTTCAATATAGAACCTAAAGAATAGCCGAGAGAGTAAGAAGAAAGAGAATATGAGGTAATTATAATACTCACTATGAATATAAATAAAGAAGATATAGGATATTTTAGGGGAAGGTATCACGATCTAAAACCTCAAGTCATGATGACACTTACCATAACTCACCAGTACGTAAACCAACTCATACTAGACATGCATTTTTGGTAGAATCAACAATCAACGAGAAGATAATAACAATATAAAGAAAATAAAGTGGAAAGAAGGAAATAACATCTATCTATCTATCTATCTATATATATATATATATATATATATATATATACACACACATGAGAACGTGGTCCAATCGCATGACCTGATGGACGAAGGTACAAAGCTGCCAAACGAGTACAATTGACAAACAGTCAAACATAGACTAAATAAGTACAGACTTGTCACGAATATAAAAAAAAAAAACTAGCCAAAACTATATAGAAATTGAGATAAGCTGAGCTAGGACGACATCAACTCACCCTCTATCTCCAAAGATCCCTGATGAAGCTCGAAATCAACGTTAGCGACTGGTGCTCGGATCTGCCATGAGTACCAAAACAACAAGTACCCAGTAGGTAACATAGGTTGACTAGGCTTGGAAAGTAAATATATATGGAAAAGCGAGGAAGTAGTTGAAAGTAGAATTCAAACAAGCGAAGCAATAACAAAAAGTCTAATTATAGCTCACGAGTCTAGAAGGAATAGAACAATAAAGTAAAGCAGTTATCTAAAGCTAACTGGACTCTCATAAGCCTAGAAGGTACACTTGTGCGCAATTGGAAAGTAAATAATCCAAGGAGTGCTGGGCACCTTTAAATCCTTGTAGATTTCGAGTTTAGACTGCTGCATGTTTTCTTTTAAGTTGATTAAAGTGTGGTTTTCTTGCTTGTTGGGTTTTGCTGCGTTTTGAGCCCCGAATTGTGTTCCATATTGGAACACAAGTTTGGGGTGTTGTTTAGGATCTCTTGACGGAATCAAATTTGGACAGTTCGGTGCGGGTCCCATAATTCCCGTTTTGACTCCAAAATTGACTCGTCTCCGTTTGTTGTAATTTTGGTGTCTAAACGACCGTACTAACGTTGGGATCTTATATTTGATAGAGTGTTAGCGTTCAAAGGTCGTTCGAGAAGGAAAAGCTCTGGCAAAGTAATTTGGAGCGTGTGCGATCGGCCTTAAGGTAGGCTACTGCTTCCTTTCTATTAGATTGAGCTTAATTGTGTAAAAGAATGTCGATTAGAGTGAATTGGAGGTGGGTACCAGTTTCCTACTTTACTTTGATTAGATACCTTATGTTAGGATTGATTGACCATTTTTCGGGTGTAGGATCATGTTAACCGGTTTAGTAGAGTTGCATGCTTATGTGCTAAATGCTATTGTATGCTTGTATGCTATGTGTTGTATGCTTTGTTCATCCTTAACCGTAAGCATAATGTCCTTAGTCTAGGTTAGGCTAGCATTGCCTTAGACTTATGACCCGTGTGGGCTGGATAACCTTGACTTTCTGTCGACGTCGTTCGGATGACTTAGCTCCTTGTAGACTGGAGTAGCAGACTTGAGTCTGATAGTTTGAGCCTTAGATTAGGCGCTATCATTGCCTGCTGCACTTCTGTATCTTCTCTCTCTCATTCTGCGGTTCCGACGCATTTTCGAAGGTTCGGTGCATCACTAGAGGCATGGGATTGAGGTAGTATAGGCTTGGAGCCTTTTCTGTGATTTCTTAGAGTGGACGGCGTTCCACGATGGTTGTTGTTGGATTGGATCCTATTGGAGATACCATCACCCCGGGGTCATTTTTTCTAGCTGGGCTGGGAGCGTATCGCTGGCTGGGTAAACTCGGTGATATCAACGATCGCCCCCGGGCCTCTCTTTCTATCTGGGCTGGGAGTGTGCTGCTGGCTAGGTGTCCCCGGGTCACTCTTTCTAGCTGGGCTGGGAGCTGACTGCATGGTAGGACGACTCGCGATATCTACCTCACTCACGGGTCCCTCTTTCTAGCTGGGCTGGGAGTGGACTGTTTGGTTGGGTGCCCCCTAGGGTCACTCTTTCTAGCTGGACTGGGAGTGCACTGTTGGCTGGGTGGAGTTTGATGGATTATCTTGGTTACTTTGGGCTGGGATCCCGGTTTACTTCTTTCTAAGTAGACTTAGCTTTTCTGTGTACCTGTCGGGCTTATAGGGGTCCGTTCAGGCTTTATTTGAACTTGCGCACGAGTGTACCTTTTAGGCTTATGAGGGTCAGTTAGGTTTAGTTAGTTGTACTTAGTTTATTTCTGGTATGCTCGTGTGCTTTCTTTTCATATCCGTTTTGACCTCTCTGTGTCTAGATTCTATCCTTTCTTATTGTTTGTACCCTTTTTGCTCAGTCGGCCTATGATGCCTACTGAGTACCTGTTGTGTTGGTACTCATGCTACGCTCTGCATCTATTTCATGATGCAGGTCCCAGTACCAGTTACCAACGATGATTAGTTCCAGCCTTCTTTTGCAGCTGTTATTCGAAGACGAGGGTGAGCATTTGGCGTTTTGGGTTTGTTTTGTCTCCTTCTTTTATTTTAGCTAGTCTTGTTGCCTTTGAGACACACTCTGTTGTGGTCCACTTTTGGGACTTGTACTCTTTATTAGATAGCTCTGTACTAGTGACTTCCAGGTTCTGGGAGGGATTTCTGTATATATTTATTTTGGTTTGTTTCCGCCTTGTTGGCCTTGTTTAGATTATTGTTTTCGCTAGTTTCTGCCCTTTCACTCATTGCTTGATGTTCTGGGTTACAGATTGGCTTACCTACTGGTAGGGTATAATAGGTGCCATCATGACTCGAGAAATCAGGTCGTGACAATGAGATAATTCAGAATGAATCTGGAAGCCTCGAAACCCGAACC